CATTACCCCCGGGGATAGGGTGGGGCCACAATGGAGGATCAAAGTTTTACATAGGAATATATAGGAAAAATCTTCAAAAATCTTCCTCTCAAGAACAGCAAAGCTATGATCGGTCATATTTATATGAAAGCATCCTCAGGTGGTGTAGATTCAAATTTGTACAAATCATGACCCCCGGGGGTAGGGTGGGGCCACAATGGACGATCAAAGTTTTACATAGGAATATATAGGAAAAGTCTTTAAAAATCTTCTTCTCAAGAACAGCAAAGCTATGATTGGTCATATTTATATGAAAGCATCCTCAGGTGGTGTAGATTCAAGTTTGTTCAAATCATGACCCCCAGGGATAGGGTGGGGCCAAAATGGACGATCAATGTTTAACATAGGTGTACATAGGAAAAATCTTCAAAAATCATCTTCTCAAGAACAGCAAAGCTATGATTGGTCATATTTATATGGAAGCATCCTCAGGTGGTGTAGATTCAAATTTGTACAAATCATGACCCCAGGGGGTAGGGTGGGACCACATTGGACGATCAAAGTTTTACATAGGAATATATAGGAAAAATCTTCAAAAATCTTCTTCTCAAGAACAGCAAAGCTATGATTGGTCATATTTATATGGAAGCATCCTCAGGTGGTGTAGATTCAATTTGTTCAAATCATGACCCCCAGGGGTAGGGTGGGGCCAAAATGGACGATCAATGTTTAACATAGGTGTACATAGGAAAAATCTTCAAAAATCTTCTTCTCAAGAACAGCAAAGCTATGATTGGTCATATTTATTTGGAAGCATCCTCAGGTGGTGTAGATTCAAGTTTGTACAAATCATGACCCCCGGGGGTAGGGTGGGGCCACAGTGGACGATCAAAGTTTTACATAGGGATATATAGGAAAAATCTTCTCAAGAACAGCAAAGCTATGATTGGTCATATTTATATGGAAACATCCTCAGGTGGTGTAGATTCAAGTTTGTTCAAATCATGACCCCCAGGGGTAGGATGGGGCCAAAATGGACGATCAATGTTTAACATAGGTGTACATAGGAAAAGTCTTCAAAAATCATCTTCTCAAGAACAGCAAAGCTATGATTGGTCATATTTATTTGGAAGCATCTATATTTATACGGAAGCATCCTCAGATAGTGTAGATTCAAGTTTGTTCAAATCATGACCCCCCCCCCCCCAATTCCCTTTTTAGGGGTAGGTTGGGACCACTTATGCATTTAAGCTTTTCAATACTAAACTGATTTTTCCTTTTTTTTCCTAGCCACAGTGCTCAGGTGAGCAATGTGGCCCTTGGGCCTCTTGTCTTTGTAAGCCATATTACGAATCTCAAGAATAAATCATCTTTCCTGATTTTACTTCAAATCTTGTTAATTTTAGGATTTTATGATCTTTAATTGAAAGGTAAACTCTTTAATTATCATTTGATATTTTGTTTTGAACCTTTTCCTTATGTCTTCATGTTGAGTGTTCACGGTACACAAAACATTTGCACCTGCTTAATATATCTTCCTTTTTCATTGTGTCATTTACGCCATGAACCCTCTGTGTATCAATGAGAATGATCTTGCTTTTGGGCCAAGCAACAATTAACGAGAGACAGTAAACATAATGTGAAACAATGTTAGCTAACAATGTGCAAGCTAACAAAGCCTGGGATCAATATTCAAACTATCAGGAGAAAACTCCTAGGAAAATGTTGGTACTGATTTATTAGAAGATAATAATTTGCAAAAAAATTAAATGTGTAATAAAAGTTATATTCCTGAAAGAATGATGTATAAATATAGAACAAGTTTCAATTTCTGCATCTAAAATAACTGAAGCATGGAATTGTCAGCTGTAGTTTACTGTAAGGATAAAAAAAAAACTTGAAGGGGGGATCTTGTTCAGATTAATATCATGTGAAAGGCGATCGTTAAATTACACTTAACTTTGGATGGTTCCTCTAAACATGGAGATATTAAAATATCTAATAATCTATTTGAATTAAATATCCCTGAGTCTTTTGTCACATCTTTCGGCATGGAAAAGCACTGGAAACGCCACCTTCCGGCTATACAATTTTACATTTTTTTTTTCTTTTTAACAGCATTTTTCATAGTGAACTCAGTATTTATGGCTGTCCGAAAAAGAATGTGTACTCGGGTAGGTTAACGTTCCTCATAAAATACCACAGTTCATCCTATACAGTCACTTCTCTGAGCTAGCATGTTATTACATCATTTTAGAATATGACGTCAAGTCACTGCAAACTTGAGCTGTCATGATGGAGATAATGTCATAAAGTCCACATCCTATTTCAAACCATATGTAAAATGTTAGATCATTATTGTAAAAAGCAAATGTTTTGACTGTCGTTTTAAGCTTGAATGAGTGCAGTAATCATTAAATATGAAAAGTTTCTGCGTTTAATTTCACAAGATTGAAATTCAGTGTATCTAATAATAAATTGCAAAAACTAGACTTTGAAATGCTCCACTTAAAGCCACGTATGAAATATGGAGATAACGAACAATACTGAAGCTCAAAGTCCATTCAAACAATACAAATAGAAGCAAACACGAACTTCTTCAACATCAGAGGTGGGATCAGGTGCCATGGAGGAGAGGGCATACCCTGTCGACTGTTCACATCCGCCTAGTGCTCCTTTTCATAATTGTGAAAAAAAAAGAAAAATCCGTAGACAATTCAGTGTGTAAGTAATAACCTAACAATTAGTTTGAAAAACCTCAGTCAGCATATCTATTCGGGTCATGTGATATAGCACCAAATGTGTTGATATGTATTTAAACGACCCCCTTATGCAAATTGTCTGTATTTATATTCATAGTCTACAAATGCAAATCAAACCGAACTGGAATTGTAATGATATGTTTTAAATGCAATTTAATTTTTCGGGCAGCATAAACATGGCTGAGAAAATCGATGAATTTTTTTTTCCTCCTGTTACAAATAATCAATGACCTAGTAATACAGCAGATTTACACTTTCGAATACTATTTGTAAAATGTTTTATACCTGTTCATGCCATACATTTTTTCCACATAGATATTATAATATTATTAATGTTGATATTAAGATATGTTAAACATGTAGCACCTTATTCAATCTGACTAAAATACAGATCTCTTCATAGCGCAAAGCTTTGCGCTATGAAGAGATCTGTATTTTAATCAGATTGCACCTTATTAAATATGTAGAGTGCAAGTTCTATTTTTTATGCTCTATCATTAATTGGCAAAAGATAGAAGTGCAGCTTTCAAATTGACACTTCAAAGTTACATTGAAATTCAAGGTCAAGATAATCGAATGTTTACATTCTTTGTGGAGTTTATCTTAAAAACAAAGAAATCAGAAATATCACACATTTGGCTTAAAGGATTTTTAGGAATGCAATTGATTCTCAAACAGATACATTTATCTTTACAGTCGAAAATTTATGGAAGAACCCACATCTAGCTCGGACCACAAGGTGTGTCGAGAAATTCATATAATATTGTTTTGGTTAAGGTCACTTAGAGAAAAAAACATGACAGTTGTGTTTAAATGTTACAATATTTTAACTGCAAACAACAGAAATAAAATTATGTAAAGTTTTTTGAGACATATCAAGTTATGTGTTAAAAGATTTTTTTCTGAGAAAACAATATGTAAAATGTAGGAATATACGTGTCAATTTTTTTTTAACTTTTTTATGAATTGTCTAAGGCGAATCTAGTATACAAAAATCTTTTCAGCTGATCCAGTCTACAAACTTGAGGCACGAATTACTTTAACATGTAATAACATTCATTTTTATCATTTGTATATGTAAGAATAGACAAAGTTTTTAGATGTGTCTCTAAGACAAAGACAGTGAGCAATGATATGTATTTGGATTTTTTTTTTAACTTTGAATTATTTGATTAGAATATATTCTGTCCTGAGTATCCTGTATTGGGGACATACAAGTGTTTGTCGACTCTGACACAAGGTCATATATCCAATTCCTTTTTAATGATACTTGGGGTCGCCCGCGTGGCGCAGTGGTTAGAGCGTCTGCTCTAGAGTCGTGGAGTAAGAAGTTGATCCTTACGTCGCAGGTTCGAATCCCACTGTGGGACGTGGAGACCGGTCCTTCGGATGAGATCGTATAAACCGAGGACCCTTGCCGCAGTAGGTGCTGGCACGAAAAAGATCCCTCGCTGCTCAATGGCCGTAAGTGCCGAGTATAGGACAAAATTTGCAGCTCTCCACCGGCAAGTGGTGGTGTCTCCATAATAGTGAAAAATTCTAGAGAGGGACGTTAAACAACATACAAAAAATAATAATACTTGGGAATAAATATTGAAAGTTTGATCCACTGTAACGAAGAATTATGACAAGGGGTGAAAACTGACCTGATGGGTTATTTTTTTTTTCTTAAATATGGAAACCAATCGGCGTGGAATTTAGACCTTCCTCCACTGATAATCGTGGAATTCAGATCATTTAACCAGGTTTTCATTCAAGAGGATTAAAACACTTTATAATGATTCTACGTTGACAATCATGCTATTTTAATTTTTTTTTAAAATATTTGCTTTTGGTTTAATATTTTACTAAGTTAATTCTATTCGTTGGATTAACATGAACATTGTCCTATCCAACAATGTTTTAAATGATTTCCCATAGATCTGTTGGATAGATCCACCCCTGCTGATAACCATAGAGATGAGAAAATTTCGCAAAAGATTCTTGTGACACCATATTTCGTCAAAACGTACTCAAATCAAGCATACGGCATTCCCGAAATTAAATGCTTTAGAAATTGATACAAGCTTTTTCAAATATACTTTACAAAAATTTCATAAGACTTTTGACGGATCCAACCTCCTTACGTTAATGTCTCAAAGATCAAATTCGTGCTCTTTTGGTTCATAAAGAGAAATGAGACTATAGTGAGGAAATAGAGAACATAGTATACTATTTTATTTTAAAAATATTATAGTTATTCAAATTTATTTTTTTTAGCTTGCCATGATGGATGGTATGGACCCAATTGTACGTCTAAATGCAGCAGTAATTGTAGAAACAGCTTACTATGTGACAAGGCAAGTGGAAAATGTGAAAGCTGTGTTCCTGGGTACATTGGGACATTTTGCAACAATTGTAAGAACATATCTATATTATTGATTAACCATGCTAATCTCATTATTTCAAATCTACTAGGAAAATAAGTAATTTGTTGACACAGGAAATGTTTTTTTTTTATTTGCTCTTTTTGAAAAATAAAAACATGGTAATAACTGCTTTTGCAGCATGTTTAAAAGGCACATACGGACATAACTGTTCCGAGAATTGTAATATCAAATGCCGAGGTCAAAACTGCTTCCATGTAAATGGATTTTGTACTGAAGGATGTGAAGATGGATACCAAGGAAATACCTGTAATGAAAGTATGATAATAATTTATTACAATGGAAAATATATTGAAATATCATAGGATAAATATGAAATTGCTATAGGAAGTTTACTAAATATATTACAGGTTCTCTGCTAGATAAAAAGAACACTATTACACATACGACATCTTGAAGAACAGAAATTTAATAAGAAAGAAACTAACAATTGTAGATTTAAAAAAAAAAAATTATTTTAAGCAGTTTGAATAAGATACAGTTGTCGGTTTCACATTTCAGTATATAAGAGAAGGCAATGATAGAAAAAATATTTTTTTCATATCTGTCGAAATAAATGCTGTTTATGTCTTCTCTCTCTCTCTCTCTCTCTCTCTCTCTCTCTCTCTCTCTCTCTCATTTATTTTGATCTATTTATTAATTTATTTTTGCTGTGTATGTTTGTCTTTCCTTTAATCATGTCAAGAGTGTAACGAAGGATGGTATGGAAAAAACTGTTATAAAAAATGTAACTTCAACTGCGTAAGGAAATCCTGCCACAATGTACATGGACACTGTAGCTATGGTTGTAATCCAGGATGGACAGAATCAGACTGCAGTCAACGTACGTCCACAAAGTCTGGAGAAAATTAATAGAATTCAGAAACACTAAAGATACTGTAGAATTATTTTAAAAGATCCAAATCAATCAGGTGTGAGATTGGCAAATTTTAACGAGGCACTTTCTACATTTTATGATATAAGATAGAACATATGAAATACTAGATGAAATCATGAATAAGCGCGGGAAAATGAACTTTTACCGCTGGTGACGGAACAATTTTCATACATCTTAATTGGTTCTATATTGACAGTTTATTACTGTCAATAAATCAGGGTAAAATATACATGTACCTCAAAATATCCTTCTTTGTTCAACATCCCGCAGTTCCTGTGGGACCATAAGTAGATAAAGGTCACCACGTAATGCATCCATCATGACTAAAATAACAAAACTATCATTTTTTGAAAAGAATGCACACATAAAAAAAATCTCTTAGTTTCCGTACTACATGTAGGTTCAGAAATTGATATCCTTGATAAAATGTTGTTAACGTCAATACTAATTATTGATATATACGTGATCAATGGAAAATCATAACTGTCGTGCAGGAAAAATATGATTGTCTTAAGCGTTTTATATAATAATGCATATTTTGTTAGCTTGCAATTTGGGATTGTACGGAGAAAACTGCACAGAAACATGCAGTCCATTTTGCAGAAAAAATCTTCATTGCAACAATACTAATGGAGTTTGTGTAGACGGCTGTATGGATGGATACATAGAACCAAAGTGCGATAAAAGTGTGTTTGGGTACTTTATTTATAATGTTTTATCAGTTCAAAGTTATGTAATATTTGTTGATGATTGTTTGATTTTTTTTTTTTTCAATTATAAAGTGAAATATATGGAGATAACGAACAGTAGTGTACATTTATTATGGTTCCCCTTATAAATTTTAACAACAGATACAGTACCCGCTTTATCCGTTTATCAGGTTTTGCGTTTTCTATCGTGTTTTCCGTTTATCAGGTTTTGCGTTTATCGTGAAGATCGTTTATAAGGTTCTATAGTGTATCGTGTTTTGCGTTTATCGTGTGCATTCGGAAACTCTCGCTTTTTATCTTTACCTTGAAAAGAAACACCCGAGATATCTCGATTTCATCTTTCGTTTTGTTAATTTATTTAGGATTAATCTAACTGTTGAACAAAAAGAGAAATTAATAATCTAACTCTGGTATATTTTTTAAAGAAAATAAATAAATAAATAAATAAACGCCAAGAACCGTCACCAAGCAGAGTGCATAAATCGGAAGTCAAATTCTATTTTTGTACATGAAATAATCGATCTACTATTTGAGTCATTCGTTATTTTTTTTTAAATTTGTCGATATGTAAGAAATATTTTTGTTAAAGATAGAAATATTATAATCCCTTTACACAGTCAGAGTGACAAAAGCGAGACCTTTATTAACTTTGTTTTGATAATTATAGAAACATAAAACATTAGGTATGTGTGCAAAAAATAAATTATGAATAAAAAAAATATCAGTATCTCTATAAAGGCTATCCTTTTAATCAATAACGGAAACAAAAATTTTGTCTATGCGCGCAGGTTTTGTTGTTCCTTTGTATTATTATTTTTCTCTGATAAGTATATATTATAATATAGATGTTTGCCATTCATATTTAACTACTGCATTTAGAAGTGTGTAAAAAATGAATAAATAAATAGACAAAACCACACAAATTTTTATTATACATCTTACCTACTTCGGCGCGGAGAAGAAGTAATATATACCGTAAATTAGTGACAGGTGGAAGCGCTCCCGTGACAAGAGAACTGACACCTACCTGCCTAATCAGTACACTGTCTTCTTGTCAAGTCAAGACCCCCCCCCCCTTTCCCCTACATGACCGGCCCGTGTGTATTCAACGTAGACATACCTGAACTCTAGCTCTCACCTGGTGTCAAGTATTTACCTTGAACCCTACTGGTTTCAATGAAATGCATCTACTTATTTTCTGGATATTGTTCATAATTTTTATGAACAACACTTAATTAGCAATTAAAGATTTTATACTAAGAAAATTGGTAAATGTACACTTCCGTTACAGATTAAAAAATGAAAAATTGAATCAAATAAAATATAGGCGAGGTTTGTCCTCCAAACTCCGTTGATTTAGTTCATTTGTATATTTTTATGTAATTATTATAGGTTTAAAGTCATAAACATGATTGGTGTGATCCATTTAAAAAAAGAATGCGCTAACGGTACTTCTTGATCTTAGGGTTTTCTCTGTTGTCTGTCGTTGTTACATGTAAAGGCGTCTCAAAGATACATGAAAAAAAAAATCGCCCGGTTCTGCGGTGATACACAAGACTGGTAAATACCTTGTATTTAATTTTATTCGTGTTTATCGATTGCATATAATACATGACTGTATTGAAGAAGTCAATATATATTTTTATTTTTTTTTATTTTCATTTTATTATTATATTATTGTTTGTTTGTTTGTTTGTTTTTTTTTTTGGCTTTTTGAATCGGATTTTTTTGGGGGGGAAGGGGGGGGGTATGGATCCCCCTTCCCCACTGACTGTGCCTCAAATGGGGTTAAGACTTTCATAATTTATAAAGTTTTGTCTAATTTTGCCGATGTCGTCCTATATAAGATAAGTTTTGTAACAATTATTACAAAGTCTAATAGCAATAATTGACAATTATTCTATCCGAAAATCCACTTGTCAAATTGTGGAAATTGATTTATCATTTATTTTTTGTGTGTGTTCTAATATGTTGAAACAAGTGTACGTAACCATTCAATGTTATCTAATGCAAAGTTTAAGTACCCAATAAATATATTCATATACATTGTAAGTTTATATAGTTTACACGTATCTATAGTAGATACAAATTCTGTTATTGTAAATGCTTATAACACAAGCACGCTAAGAAAGCAATATCATTTCTTTGGGGGCGGCCGGGGGGAGGGGGTGGGGTCTAAAAAGAAATGTTTTGAAAAGCAAACAAAAATAGCTAAAGACATTATTATTGTCGATGGGCAATATTATATAAGCATTATATTACTACTGTATACTACACATGCTGGTACACTGTAACATTTTTTTGATTGATACGACTGCATGCTCCCTTCTAGCGTAATCTTACAGGCCTATAAAAATACCAGAATAAATACAAAAGAATGGAAATGCAATATTTTTTTCGGATAATAGATGATGACAGATCTAGTGACGTTTATTGATTTTATTAAATTCGAGTTTTTTCGCAGGTCTCCTTCCTCATATATGCATATACAATGTATGTACTTGGAATGTGCATGTACTTGGAATATGTAAATAATTTTTATGTGCACGGGATATGTGTGACATATATATTTATATATAGGAGATATTAACTATTCACAGTCCAGTGCACGGTCTGTCTCAATGCAACTAGCAATTTCGGCAATTTTAAAACGTAAAAAAAATTAATTAATTTATATAAAATATAAATCAAATTCTTAAAAATTGGAGGAGATAGCATTAACCTTAAAATAATTATAACAATAATTTTTCAACCCCCCCCCCCCAAATTATGACTAGTATTTTTTTTGGGGGGGGGGGGGGTTAAGATTTGAATTATTAAATACGAACTATTAAAGGCGATTTTGGATACTTTGCAGACTTCTAGCAAAAGATATTGAATCCAAATATTTCATTTTTTTTTTTTTTTTTTACATGTTTTTCCGAAAAAATAATCAATGTTTGTTATGAATTTCATAAGGTTTTATTTGTTAAAATAATGAATATATTTATAGCGTTTCGTGAATTTATTGCACTTGGGTGTAAAACTTCGCTTGTCTACGGACTCAAAACTTAAATTTAACGATTCGAAGGAATTTCGACATTTGTATAATTACACAAAAAAAATCGCCTAATTTCCATCATAGAGTGGAATTATTCTTAAAATAATTAGTTTGAATATGATGACGATCAATTTTATTGACAAAAACACCATATCTTTTACAAAGCATAATTACTTCAAATGTTTTATCATCATAAATTTAAAACGTTTTATCATTTCGATTTGCGGCTTTGTAAGTAATTAAAATTATCATACTATAGTATATCATAAAGAAAACTTTTCGTTTTGTCAAAAAACGTTTCGCATTTTGAAACAATCCTATCAGGTTTTGCGTTTATCCTATCGTTAAGATCGTTTATCAGGTCTATCGTGTTTTGCGTTTATCGTATTTTGCGTTTATCGTGTTTTGCGTTTATCCTATCGTGCGTGTATCCTGTCCTATCGTATCGTGCGTTTATTCTATCGTATCGTGCGTGTATCCTATCGTATCGATATCGTGTGCAGTGTATTCTGTAAAGAATAACGATGCGGGTACTGTAATTGTAAAGCAGACATTTTACAATAATTGTACAAGATAAGTATTTTGTAAGGTTGCAAGGGTGGCTGGTATGGCAAAAATTGCTCAAAGCGTTGTAGCGAAAACTGTTTTAATCAGAGGTGTAATCATAGAGATGGCAGATGTACATTCGGATGTAAACAAGGCTGGAGTTCTGCCAGCTGTTCTCGAGGTATTTTTAAATTTAGTTTGTATAATTACAAACAAATATTTTGTATAATTATCAGTATTACATGTATAGTACATGCAAAATTCAGAAGGTTTATCTGTTTTTAAATAAAAAAAAAATATTGTATTTTAGAGTTCTATTACATTTATCTTACGTATTTTATTTGTGTAGCATGTGATGCAGGATTTTATGGCAAAAACTGTTCAAAAAGCTGTTCTAACTGCCTAAATAGTCTATGCGACCCTTTTAACGGTACTTGTATTCAAGGGTGTGATGACGGATACATGGGCAGTAAATGTGATGAGTGTATGTTATTATTATTTATCAGATAGGTGTTATTTCAAAAATCATATTTTTTGGTTTAAGAACATCTTTTTTATACTTGCGGGATTTAGGTATCCTTTCTCTTATTTTTTCTTCATTCTTTTTCTAAAGCTTGCCTTATTGGATGGTATGGGAAGAATTGCTCTAATTTATGTAACCAAAATTGTATAAACAAGTCATGTAACAACGCATACGGTGAATGTACGTATGGGTGTGAAGCTGGATGGATGGGATTGAACTGTTCAGACGGTACGGAATAAGGTTTGACTTAACTCAGTCTATTCTAACCATATTATAAATTAAGATGCCTATGTTCCATAACACACCTCAGTTATGTTGTCCTTCTAAAAACTTATACGAGTATAAGGTATACATCACCCTCACTACATAAAGTCATTACATACCTTACTCAGCTGTGTGAATGTACAGGATGTTTCAATAAACGTGTTCCAACTTTGGATGTCTATATTTTTGTACAATAATGAAATGCAAACAAAACAACAGCAGTATTTTAAAGTATGTTAACGTTTCCTATCCCATCGGGTGAGTCAAAGACGAATCCTTATACGGATTCCACTTCATACGCTGGACGACTATACTAGGTCACAATCTTATTGTGTAACGAATTTACCCCTCTGAAGACCTTAACAAGATTTGCTTCGAAGTAAAAAACAAATTAACAAGATGTGTTTGTGAAACACTGATGACCCCGTATGGCAGCTTATGGTGACGGTTAAAGTTTCTTTAATGCAAGTCAAACTACAGGTCAGGAGATCAAAAATATTGGAACCAAAAGAAAGGTCTGTCTCGAGGAATATACTTCTGAAATTTGAAAGCCATATAGAAACATCTGCTTAAAAGATATGGCGAAGGTTAAGGTTGTTTAAAAGTAAGTAAAACGGCAAGGTCAAGGTCAAATAGGGCCCCGAGGGAAGGTCTTGTCACAAGTGATACACATATTCATGAAATGTGAAAGCCATAGAACCAACGTTTACATGTTATGGCCAAGGTTTAAGTTTTTTAAAAGTAGGTCGAACTCCAAAATCAAGGTCAATGTCAATATAGTTGGTATCCAAAGGAACAAGGAATGCACATGTGAAGTATGAAAGACCTAGCAATAAATGTTTAAAAGTTATGGCCAAGGTAAAAGTTTTTCAAAAGTAGGTCAAACTCCAAGGTCAAAAGGTCAAAGTTGTTGGTATCCAAAAGAAGGTCTTCTCACAAGGATTACATATGAGAAGTATGAAAGCCCTAGCACCAACTGTTAAAAAGTTACTGCCACGGTTAAAGTTTTTCAAAAGTATATAAAACTCCTAGGTCAAGGTCAAAGTGGTTGGTATTCTAAGGAAGGTCTTGTCACAAGAATTACATATTTGAAGGATGAAAGCCCTAACACCCACCTTTCGAAAGTTATGGCCAAGGTTAAAGTTGTTCAAAAGTAAGTCAAACTCCTAGGTCAAGGTCATAAGGTCACAGTGGTTGGTATTCTAAGGAAGGTCTTGTAACAAGGAATAGACCTGTCAAGTATGAAGGCCCTAGCACCAACCATTCAAAAGTTATTACAAAGGTTTAAGTTTTTCAAAGGTAGGTCAAACTCCTAGGTCAGGGTTAAAAGGTCAAAATTGTTGATCACCAAAGAAAGGTCTTGTCACTAGGAATATACATTTGATGTATGAAAGCCCTAGCTCCAACTGTTCAAAAGTTATGGCCAGGGTTAAAGTTTTTTTTTAAAGTAGGTCAAACTCCAAGATCAAAGGTTCAAAGTTTTTGGTATCCAAAGGAAGGTTTTGTCACAAGGAATACACATGTAAAGTTTGAAAGCCCAAGCTCCAATTGTTCAAAAGTTATGGCCAAAGTTAAAGTCTCATAAAATTTTGCAAAAGTGGGTCAAACTCCAAGGTCAAACATGATGGTACCCAAAGAAAGGTCTTGTGACAAGGAATACACATGTGAAATATGAAAGTCATAGCTCCAACCAATCAAAAGTTATGGGAAAGGTTAAAGTTTTTTTTTCGGACAAAAAGACAAACAAACAGACAGACAGACGAACGGACAGGGCAAAAAAATATACCCCCAGGGCATAAAAATATAACTTAAGATATCGTTGGAAATAAGAGATATTAGGCATTACATCATCACAGTTAAAGATACCTAAATTTAAAAAAAAAAAAAACTGCTTGCTTGCCACCATTTCTTTAAATCAGATGCACGTAGAACAAAATCCTGTGCCGGTTTTTTACACCTGTTTGGACCATTGTAATGTAATATTTCAGAGTATCCTGTGATATGTTTTAGCAAATCAAGATTCTTCAAATATTTCTGAAGCGGAATCAGTATCTTTCCATAACAAATAAATCTTTGCTCACAAATTTATGTGAGTGTGATATCAACCCAATATGCAGCAGGATGAAGTGTGCTTGTTTAACTGGCTCTTCATAACTGACTGGATGGAAATGCGACAAAAAAATACGGAAAGTGCGTTCTGTCTTTCCGTACTTTATTCATAATTCATTATATTTTTTATTCTCCTCTCTCTCTCTCTCTCTCTCTCTCTCTCTCTCTCTCTCTCTCTCTCTCTCTCTCTTGCGATAAGCAAAGAAAAAATTGTTTCAACATTTCTTAACATGTAAGACTGCTTGATCTTTAGTCCAGTTTTGTAAAGTCATTTTTTTAAGAAAAAAGTCAATTTTTAATGGTTTTACTACATTATTTTTAGTGATATTATTCGTGGTTGTGATTTCTTTTAGTATTTACCATTGCTACATATCATTAGTTAATCAATGTTCTATATGTTTTGATAAAAAGTAGGGATTGCAATCGAATATAGAATTGCCAATCAGTTACCTCCAAGACGTTCCGACCGATTAATCAGTTAATCGTATCAAATATTTTTGACACAGTCCATCATTGCATGTTCTAATAAAATAAACAAGACTATAATGATGTTACATAAAGTATTATTATGTTTATTTTTGATGAGGACACCAAGTATATTTTATTTCAATTTTAATAGGGGGGAAATTAAGAAAGTCATTAAGTCTGAAGTATCGCTTAATTTACAATGTTTGTTAAATAATATAATTTGATAGGTAACTTCAAAGGATAGATGGGGCAAGGTACACATAATAATCAGTTCAAGGATCTCAACGATCATTTAATTAAATTCATTAAAGAAACACAGGCAGCTGGGTAACGACATTGTGTTTTAAAAGCAATTTTAAAACATCTCGAAAACTGACCAATTACCCCCATGATATTAATCAGGATCAGCTTTTAGGTGAAAATGCTAACAATTCATACATATTTTTATTTGTATTTTTTAAATTGAATTCTCAGGAAATTGTGTTCAAGTTTACATATTAATATTTTTTTCCGACTAACCGATTACAGATTTTCTAACCGGTTACCATCTTTCCGACCGAGTAACCGTTAACCGATTACAAATTGACATCCAAAATAAAAATATACTTTCCGTGTATTTTTTCCCAAATTCATTAATTTTAAAGAAATACTTTTTGCGCATTGTATCACACTGAAGACATAGTCATAAAAATATGTCTTAAATTTGATATTAGCTCCTTTAGTGTACATGTATGTAAAAGTTTTAAACACAATGATATGAAAACCTAATAAGCCTTTTATTATTCAATAATAGAATAATATTAGAGAACATTCCCGCGACGATTTTGTATATAAGCATTTTGAAGTAGAAACTTGTGTTGAAAACAATGATGAGTTAATTTTAGTTGTTTGGATATTCAAGGTTCTCATTTTTTCCTCATATTTTTAGAATGCATGCCCGGATGGTTTGGAGAAGATTGCGTAAAAAGATGTGGTAAATGTGCTCTCAACCACACGTGCAACAGGACGAATGGGGCTTGTTTAACTGGCTGTGTGGAACCATTTACTGGAGTGAAATGCGACAAAAATACGGAAAGTTTGTAGTATTTTGAATTTATGTACTTGATTTATATTTCATAATATATTACATATTATATACTTGTTTTATTAATCTCTCTCTCTCTCTCTCTCTCTCTCTCTCTCTCTCACAAAATAACAAGTTCTACCCTGGTGTGTTATGCCTTTTTTTTTTTTTTTTTTTTTTTTTTTTTTTTTTTTTGCAAAAATTAATTTGAAATGGTTATAGCAATTATTTAATATTTTCTAGTCTCCCTGAAAAAAGCAACTACAAATTTTCCTCAAAGTGATTTTCAATCTGGCTACGTCATAGCTTTATCAGCAGGGTTTGCTGTATCACTGCTACTTAATATATTTACCTGTATAGTGGTACTCCGAAGGTAAGAAAATAAGTAATGTGAAGATAAGTATCGATAAAGTTTACGTATTTTCAAATTAAAAAAAAAATAATTAAGTTCGTGACATAAAGTTGACTAAATACTTTTTTTGATAGAAGGTACTGTAAAAGAGATGAGGAAGAATCGAGACATTATGCTGAATGCAGTGACGTAATGGCTGTAAAGACTGAAAATACGCATACATATCAGGAACTTAATGCTATAAATAGTAATGTTAATACCTATCACAATCTTTCATTTGGAACTTCTCCGTAGAATGAAGAAGAATATATGTTTGCTGTAGTTAAATAAATTGTTTCTCTTTATTTTTTATTAAATATAAATGTTACTTAGCAACCCACTTATGTTTTCTTAATTATGGATGCAGTGCAAACTGACTCAGGTGACCTATAAAAATCTTCTCAAGAACCAGTGTGTCAGAAAAGTTGAAACTTATGTGAACGCTTCATTGTATGAAGTGTAAATTCAGTTTAATTCAGATCATGCGGTTGAGCGCTCGCTCCGTGATCGGAATGCCGTGAGTTAGAATCTCAGCCGCGACTGACCTAAGTCGATAAAAAGAGGTAGGAACCGTTCCTTCGCCAGGCGCTCGGCACTTTGAACTGAAAGTTGCGGGTCCTTCGGATGAGACCTTTTAAAAAAACCCAGGCCCCGTGTCACGGCAAGCTTTAGCACCCCGTCACTGCTCAATGGTCCTGAGTGCCGAGTAAATGCCTAAATTTGAGGCCCTTCACCGGTATATGGTGACGTCTCTATATGAATGAAAAAATATCGAATGGGACGTGAAACAATACACAATCAATCAATCAATTGTTCAGATCATGTCCCTCGAGGGAAGGGTGTGGCTACAGTAGGCGATCAATTTTTTTCGTAGATTATTTAGAAAGAAATCTCTCAATTTTTTTTTTTAAGAAATACTTGGTCAAAAGAGATGATACTTGTGTGAAAGCTTCAGTACATAGCGTACGTTCAATTTAGAGGTACTCGTTGGGATTCACTGCTGGATGACTCACTGGCCAGGTATTAAAATAATATGATCTACCTCTGGTTAATCTAGAATATATATAATGTCATGTATTGCTAGTTGCTTGCAAGCACTGTAAAAATTCTGTTCAAAATACTCACCGATCAGCTGATACTCCAATGTCACATAACCACATTTACAACAATAACAAAAAATGATACTACACACACAAGACATTAAACTCACAGTTTGTGACAGTAGTCACCGGCAATATATGTCCAAGTCAATGGGTTGACCAATATAGTGGTAGAATTCATGCACACAGCTGTGTCTATTCAGGTCTAACAGATCACTGATGATCTAACCGGTAAACGTGAAAGTTGAACACTCTTAGAAATGTGTCATCTGAGTGACAAGTATAGGTCTAAATTTGCAGCCCTACACCGGCAAGTGTTGACGTCTACATACGAATGAAAAATTCTCGAGATGAACATTATAACAACAAACAAACAAACAAAAACAAAATCAATTTTGTTCAAATCGTGACCCCAGGGTAGGGTGGGGCCACAATGGGTGATCATACATGGGTGATTTTACATACTCTTAGGAATATACACAGAAAATCTTTAAAAATCTTCTCAAAAACCAGACAGATGTAGCACCGGCATCCTCCCTCCCCCCTTTCCCGCCCGATGGTTTGATTTTTTTTCTCCTTTGGTAAGTTATGTTTGTTTAACTTGTATATACTCTCAGTTTAGTCCACAGGTAAAATTTCGCCCCCCCCCCCCTCTATTTTGAACTTTCTGGATCCAACACTGAGAACAGCAGTAGGCCCGTGATTAGTGATGGGTTTTTTTTAAATGACTCCTCAGGTTGCACAGATTCAATTATCTTCAAATCAAACCGTGATTAGTCATTTTTATATGTATTGTTTGATTGATTGTTATTGTTTAACGCCGAGTCGGCAATATTTCAGCCATATTTCGGCGAGCAAATTCAGTGTATATGATCATTTTTGAAGTTTTGGGTTTCTCTAGCCATATTTATATAGAGCATTGCCGTGCATAGTCATGCGACATGTTCTAATGGACGACAATATGCACAGTGAGTGTAGGTGCACATTGTCACCGGCGACAATATGAACAGCACAACAAAATGTACCGTCACAATCACGATGCATAAAATAGCATATGAGACACGTCAGTGTGACTCACACAAAAATTAAATTCATAAAACTACCAAAAAACAACAAAAGAAATCTTTAAGCAACAATATCGGTGAGGCGACAATATGTACGGTGAGGGTGAGGCATATAATGTCGCCAGCGACAATATGTACGTGTGTAACTTTTCAGCCGGCGACAATATGTACCGATGGACGACAATTTGTGCAGTGAGGGTAGGTACATATTGTCGTGACAAAAGTATGTACAAAACGACAATATGTACCGTCGTACACCCCCTACGATGTACGTGATGGACAATTGTAAATAATTATGCTTCCTGTCAGTTTGTCTCTATATAATCAATACCCAACTATTTTTGCATAGTGTTTTAAGCATTTATATAGCGTAAGCATTCTATTCCAAAATAGTGCACGGCTTCTTTTTCTGAAGAAAATCCAACAGCGCCGACGCCAGGGCTCGAACTCATAACCCCGAGATTGTCAGTCCGACGCGTTACCGATTATGCCACAGACGCCGTTATCGAAAGCACTGTATTATGATATATATAAACTTAGTTTCAAATATTTTACACTTAAAAAAAAATAAACAAAACGATTTTTCTCAAACAGTTTCTTGCAATTTTTTCCCCTCACTCAACTAAAATTTTCTGAAACTATCTGTGCATTTACCTATAATGCATGGAACATTCAAAATTAAATATAAAAGATTATGACGTACATGTAGCACAACGTGACGTCATAATAGGGGTGTATTAACATGAATATAAGAGGTGATGAAACAATGGAAATGGAAAATATTGTCCCTTTTTATACAACAGTCAGCATAATAATACCAATAGTGTTGTACTTTGCACGCACTATGCCTAAATAGTAGTCAGGGTTTGACATATAAAGCACTCGCCTCCGGCTCGTGTACCATGTGTCAAACCCAGACTACTATCTAGGCATAGTGCATGCAAACAACAATACTATTACATAAACAGGGTACATCGAAATCGGCCCGTGTTTTTTTTTTTTTTTTTTTTTTAATTCTTACTGACTGTGATTGGTTTCATTTTTAGACTGTTAACTCAAAATCTGGTGACGAAACATGAAAAGAAATCACTCGATTGATTTGGACTTCTTGCAAATAAAATATAACTATATAGAGTACCTATATAGAAGTTGTAGAGATGCATGATTGGCTTAATTATTAGCATTATCTAGATCAAGCAATAATACCTGCTAGTAATAAAATCACACCGCTTCCCAATAACTTGTATGAGGATCATAAATAATTGCCAGGAGCAGAGCAGAGGGGGGACTTTTTTTAACAGAAGCAGATATTATGGGACTGTCTTAAGGCATGCAGTATAGGTGAAGCCCTGATTGGGGTCCAGCGGGCGAAGTCCCTGGAAGTTCATGAATTTAAGGGATTTGCAAGAGTAAAAATTCATCTTTTTATTATCCTTCAAAGGTGTAATAAAACCCCCCACAACAGATGTTCAGGTACACGGATTGATATTTTAGGTAAAAGAAAAAGAGAGAGAGACAGTTTTAGTTTAAATAAACATTTATTTCTTAGATTGTTGTAACCCCCACCCCAGTGTGTTAAACCCTCTCACATCAAAACATTTATACTCCGACCTTGTTATTTTTACAAACCTGCAAATACCTAAGAAATATTTATCCGAAACAATAATCCATTTTGCGTCAGAATGTCTTTTTCCATACAAAAGACGAAGACATAAAAAGGAAAAAACAGTCATGTAAACTATTTTCAGTATCTTTAAATTTCGTAAATAATGTTAAACAGTTGTACAAAAATATGAAAATTATAATTAATATTATCTAGCCGGACATTTAATACAGGTTACTATCGAATTCTCAAAGTTTAAGGGACCTTAAATAGGTTTGAGAGCTAGAGGTGTTCTAGAGATCGAAAGGGAAAAGAAATTAATTTTCAGGTACGATCATTTTTGGTTCTATTACTACGTTTACGGTAAATATTCATGTTGAAAAGAATGAAAACCATTCGTATTTTACTGGCAATTCTCTTGATTTCGAACAACAAAGACAGCATCTTGATAATTCAGCTGATATCCCGATCCCACCTCTGATGTTTTAGAGACCCGAGTTTGTTCTGCTCCTGATTCGTATTTTTTGAATTGACTTTTGGGCTTGAATACTGTTATCTCTATATATTTTATCTGAATTATGATTGCCTATCAACGTTAAAATCAACATTTTAAAAAAAGAAAAAAAAAACTTCTGATATATTTGTAACAACTAGCTGCAGAACTCAGAGAAAAATAAACAGTTGGTTAACTATGTAGGTTATGGTGGAAGCTGATTTTTCTAGACGACCTATCTCGAAGTATTTTTTGCCAAAAGTTTTAAGACGTTTCATTCATAACTAATGTTGTAACTTCATTTCGCAAAGACATAATTGAAACTGCTTTCATAAGTGGTGCAGATAGTAATAGAAAAAAAAAATCACTTAGTAAAACAAGCACCAAATTTGGCGTGTAGGTTCCACGTCCACACCTGTAACCTGAGTTAGAAATATCGTTGGTCATTCAAGTTTTGGCCATTTTCAAACTGGACGATATGAGTTTAAAAATTGTGTTTCTTATATTGCATACTGAGCATTCTTAATTTTTTTTTGGTCAAACATTTTCAAACTCTTTGGAAAATGGTTCAACATGGGATTAAGGTGTTATTTTACGTGAATATGTCATGAGCAGGCATTTAATTATAGGTTGTTGCTGTTTTATAGTATACATGATACCAATCTTCAGAACGGTTATGTACAGCTGCATAGAGCAGCTATTAACCATATTCTTGTGTTTATTAAAAAATTGAGACAGCAAAAATTATAATGAAAGAAAATATGTATTATTTATTTAATTTTGAACATATTTTTTTCCCCTTAAAAATCAGTATTTCATTTTCAAACAAGGGAAATGATATTTCATCTTGATATAAAAGTGGTCGAAAAATACTCCAAAAAGGCTGATATTCAAGATATTTTAAAATTGGGTTTGGACACTTAAAATTTAAAATGTTATGTTTTAAGGTAAAAATTTTGAACTTATAATCATTTCATACAAGAGGATAATCGGGT